GTCAGCCAGGGCTCAGAGCCCCTGCCCAAACAGGGCTGGCCACAAACCCCCGCCGCAAAAGTTCTGGCCAGGCCAACCCTCAGAACAACAAGAAAGTCCTTGGAGCCCAGCCGACTCCCCAGCTTCTGGGGTGGAGGCACATTGGCACGGCGTGCTGCGGGCTCCCTTGGGAATTCTCTGAGCGGAGCTGCATGCAGCTTCATGCTGACCATGGAGGTTACAGCTCCCAGGCCCAAATCCAGAAGTAGAAGTCACAGTGCCGGATTTCTCTGAATCCGGGGTCAATGTCACCTCATCTGCCAAGTCAGCGTGGTATCCCTTGTTCTACATCCTCTTCTGAATCCAGCCTACACCTCTGGCAGCTCCTTCACAATGCACTGCTTAAATCATTGTTGCATGAACTTGAGCAAAATGTTCCTTGCATGTGATATTATTAATATTGTTCTATTATCTGAACATTCTGTTTGGTCACCTTTGTTTGCATTGGGTACAAATATGGATCTCTTCCAGTCAGTTGGCCAAGTAGCTATCTTCCAAATTTCCTGGAATAGACGAGTGAGTGCTTCCAGTGCTTCCCCAGCTTGTTGAAACATTTCAATTGATATTCTATCAATTCCTAAAGCCTTGATATGGTTAATGCTTTCAGTCGAGCTTGGACTCGTTCCTTTCAGTACCACGGTCCTTGTTCATATGCCACCTCTTGAAGCAACTGAATAGGACTGGTTCTTGTTGATGCAGCGACTCTATATTCGTCCCATCTTCTTCTCATGCTTCCTGCATCATTCAAGATTTTGCCCAGAGAATCTTTCTTTTTTGGTTTTTGTGCAGAGAACCTTTCAATGTTGCAACTCGAAGCTTACATTTTTCTTCACTTCTTTCACTTTAAAATATGCTAGCTGTCTATTTGGTTTTCTAACTCCTGGTCATTGCACATCTCATTATAATATTCTACTTGTCTTCCTGAGCTGCCCTTTGAAAGGACCTCACCATTTCTTCCATTTGCCGTAGCTACTCTACAATTAAGACCAAGATTCGAGTCTCTTCTGGCATCCCTCCGGTCTTTTATCCCTCGTCTTTTGAAGGCCTTTGCTCTCTTCATGCCTGATGGTCTTGGCGGCATCTCACAGACCATCGGGTCTTCTGTCACAAGGGTTTAATTCATCAAATTTGTTCTTGAGATGTTCTCGACGCTCGGGTGGGATATCTTCAAGTTACATTTTGGCTCCCATGGACTTGCTTTCATTCATTCTACTTCACAGACATCCCTAGGTGATGCAAACGGTGAGTGGATGCTTGGCTCCTAACCTAAAGGATGGAGGGTTGAGTACAGCCAGAGGTACCTCAGAAAGAAGGCCTGCAGATCGACTTCTGAAAAGCCATCTGTGGTAGTTAGATAATTCCATGTCAACTTGATCAAAGAAGGAATCTGTCAATCAGGTCACAACCCAATGATTCCTCCCTGTGGGCATGGCCTTCTCATAAGGATTCTGAGAACTCTCTCTTGCTGCTACACATTCCTGTTGATAAGACACATGGAGCCACGCTGATGGCAGCCAGAGTCCTGAAGATGAATCCACTGCCATTGGATCCATGGGACTTTCCACCCACCGGCCAGTGAGCTTCCTGCATTTGGCATCATTACATGTGCTGTGTGAGTGTGAAGAGCAATAGCGGGCTAATAGCAGACTTATGGGCTAATATCGAACTTATGAACTTGATCTGGACTGGCCTGGGATGTTTTATTGATGCATAATTACTTCTTGATATAAAGGTGTCTGTTGCACACATATGAGTGTTTCTGGATTTGTTTCTCTAGTCAACCCAGACTAACACACCATCCATCAAAACCCTACGATGCACATGTCTACTCTGACATAGGTGAGGTGCCCCTGAGTCAGAGCTGACTCCGTGGCAACTGGTTCAAGGCTCTAGGCTCTCAGAATGAGTTGTACATTCCGTTTTGAAAGCATTTACAAAATGCCTGTCCTCATTTTATCTTTAACATACAAAATAGGTACTATCATTCCCATTCCGCAGTACGGAAACCAAGGCCAGTAGCTCATGGAGCTCGGACGAAAGCCCAGGAGAGGGGAGAGTCTCACCTCCAAATCCAATGTTTCTTAACCACCCAAGAGCTGCAGCCCCTCATCGATTTGGTATGGCCTCATTCACAATTATCCGCTTGCAAATCTGCCTCTTACACCCAACTTCAGACCCCACCCTGGGGTGCTCATCTTATTCCCACTTCTATCCCCAAGTTATCTCAGCACAACGCTAGGAGCGTAATGTGTTGCTGAGTAGACATTGCTGAACGGAATGAGTCAGCAAGCATTGTGACAGCCCTCGGGGTAGGCTCTGAAAGGGAAAAGGATGCAGAGAAAAAGAAAACAAGTTTTTCCTTCTGCTTCAGAGTCATCCCTATGAGCTATGCAGACATTGCAGTAGAATTCCTCTGTTGGGAGCCATCAGGCTGATTCGGTCTCACAGTGGCCCCATGTGACCAAGCAGAACCACCCCAGAGGGTTTTCCTGGCTGTAACCTCTCAGAAGTAGTTCTCTGGGTCTCTCGCCCATGCAACCACTGGGTGGATTCAAACCGCTCACCTTCCAGTTAGGTGAAGTACTCACCACTGTGTCACTGGGGCTCCTTGCAGGCAGATCAGAGACTTGCAATACTGGGCAGATGTGCAGCATGTGGGGAAGCCGGGCACAGGAGCGTGGAGTCTGCCTGGAGAAAGAGCGGAGAAGGCCGGTGTCCTTCACCGCTACCGTGGTGCCTGGGGGAGGTTGGGAAGAAGAGAAGAATTTGCCACGTGGGTGAGAAGAACAGGACATTTCAGGAGAGGGGGACAGGGGCCAAGGGCAAAGATTTGAGAAGGCCCAGTTTTCCTGGAGTTCTGTACCCCCCAAAAAACCCCCCACAGATTTCCCCCCCCAAAAAGTTATGTATTTACATTTATTTACAAAACAACCTTATCACCTTCAAAGTCCTCTTCATGACACTGAATACATTTGTCAAATCTGCGACTCCATTCTCGGAGACACTTTTCAAACTCATCTGTCTGGATGACTGACAGCCCCTCCCTTGTTTTTTTCTTCGCCTCTTCCCCGTCGTCAAATCTGAGCAGTACTTAGTCTGTCCCTCCCCAGTGGAAGCAGGTGGAAGGCAGGCTGATCAGTACTTAGTCTGTCCCTCCCCAGTGGAAGCAGGTGGAAGGCAGGCTGATCGATTTCTTGCTGATGAAGCTGACCTAGACTTCTCTCGCCCCCAAGGACAGACCTCCCTTCCCCAAGCAGAGACCCAAGTGCAGATGCCCAAGGTGTGGCAGAGGTGTGGCTCGGGAGAGAAATCCCGAGCCTTCCGCAGAGGCTGGAGCGGCGCTCTCTTTGGAAGGCAACAGGAGCCTGGAGTGAAAAACAGTATTGGGTCACCAGGGCAGTCTTTCTCCTCTGGTTTCTGTTTCCTCCTACTTGAAGGAACTCCAGCTTCTCTCAAACGTATCCGGAGAAATGCTGCCGGGGCCTGATGTGCCTGCGGTGTGACGTCTCTGCCCTTCCCTGCCCGTTCTCCCCATGGTGGTGCGTCAGCTCCCACGGAGCTCAGAGCTCCGCCCGGTTCTGACGCTCACTCTGGGAGCCTGTGGTCAGTCATCAAGTGCACGGGTGTTTTCATTGAAAGGGAGCACATGTGTAACTAACGGGTTAAGTATGACTGTGATCAGAAGAGGATTCTTTCCAAAGCAACAGAATCCACCCAGACCCTCCACCCTCCATACTGCCTAGCTCTTGGTTGGCCTCCAGGTCAAGACCAACTTACTCCTCCACCACCTCCTCCACCACCAATACCAACATCAACACCACCACCTCCTCCACCACCAATACCAACATCAACACCAATACCCACCGCTAACAGTACCAATACCGACAGCAGCAGGCATATTCTCAGCACCTACCTACTGAGCGATCTGAAAAATAAAAATGTTTACTCGCTAAAATACGACAGAGCCTAATGACTGAATGATCGAACTGCCCCCAACTCCTCAGAAAATAGCCTACTCATAACTAGCTAACAGACATGCCCCCTAACAGAGGCGTGATGCATTAAGCACGTGGTTGGTGGTTCAAACCCACCAGCCACTCCTCAGGAGAATGATGGAGGGCTGTCCGCTCCAGTAAAAGTGTACAGTCTCGGAAACCCTGCACTGTATCACTATGGGTCAGAATCAACTTGATGGCAACGGGTTTGGTTTGTCTAGAGTGACAATTGGGCAGTCAACCTCATAACTGTCGATAAGAGACCACACGCTAGCCAGTAGTCATCTATGACTATCGATTAATTTGAACCTCCTTTACCCTATTCTGACTAACGGTAAAACTGAAACCTCTGACTTCCTTATTCTTGGCAGATAAACCCTTGACGCGATTTCCTGTCAGTGGATCTCATTTCCACGTTGGCTTTGGATGCCGCCCTCCTCGTGAATCTTTCGGTCCTGCTCAAATAAACTCAGGAGACATGTAAAATCGGCCATCATCTCTGACAATGTCTCGGACAGCTCCAGGCCCCACCGACACCGGGCACGGTTCAAGTCTGCCTCCCTCCCTCGCCCAGGATTAGCATCTAGACACAATGACCAAAATTTGTAGACCCCTCGCCTCATGGATACTGCACAATCTGACGGCACAACCCAAACAGACAATACTCAGTATCATAAGTCTGGACGATTCCGCCTTAAATAACCAGAGGGAGGAAGATGAGGCTTGCTACAGCCGTAGAGTTGCTGTCTCCGAAACCCACAGGGGTCTCCATGAGTCAACCGACTCCGCGGCAGTGGGTTTGGAGTTCTGCACTGGTCTCTCAAGGAGTGCTGGTGATGCAACCGTTTTAACGGCTAGGCTGCTATGGTAGTTATATAACTGTTTGTCAGTTGAGAGGATTAAGAGTGACAGGGTGGAGTCTAGTCTATCAATCAACTAGTAGCCAATGAAGCCCGTGTGTGTGCATGGCCTTTTCCTAAGGATTCTGGGAACTCTTGTATTCCTCCTTGGAGGTGGGAGACACACTCTCTCTCTAGGACACATTGCAGCTGACAAGACACATGGAGAAAGGCTGATGGCAGCCAGAGCCTCGGAGCTGGAGAAGCCATGCGGAGACCCCTGCCAACACTGAGATGCTGACACCACCACTGGATCCATAAGACTTCCTACTCACTGGCCTATGATCCTCCTGAATTCCCCATCATTGCATGTGTTTCATGAGTCTGAAGAGGACTTTATAGATTGATATCGGACACATGGGCTAATATCAGACTTATGGACTTGATCTGGATGGGACTGGGATGTTTTCTCAGTATTCAATTGCTCTTGTATATAAAGTTCTTTCCTATATGCATATGAGTGTCTATGAATTTGTTTCACTAGTCAACCCAGACTAACACAGTTGCTCAATGAAAAGGTGGATTTGGCCTCACCTAGCAGCTCCACAGGAGAATGTCCTGGGGATGTTTCTGGAATAAGTCAAAGACAGGGCCGCTCTAGTTCTACTCTGTCACCTGGGGTTGCTATGAGTCAAAACCAACTCCACAGCTTCCAGAAGCAAAAACATGGTCCAAAAAGTGGCCAATTCTGTGGGTACTACCTTCAAAACCCATGTAGATTCTAACCACGTGCCACAGCCTCTATTATTCCCAACCAACCCAGCCACCTGGACTTTCATGCCTGGACTTTAGTGCAAATGCCTCCTAAGGGTTCCTCCCATTTCTAGCTTTCAGCCTATGATAACGCAGTTGCCTGAATGAGCCTTCTAAAACAGCAGTCATATCCCTTTCCTGCTCAAAACCCTCATGTCTCCCATCTCAGAGCCAAAGCCAAGTCCTTCCCAAACCCTGCACCATGGGCGGCTCTCTCCGCCATCCTCCCTCTCCCATCACACTCCGCTGTGACCCCTCTGGCCTTGTCTTCAGGTCACTTTTGATTGACTCGGCCTCTTGACCACCCTCAAGCAAAGGGCCTTGGCTGTCCTCTCAGCACCTGTGCACTCCCCGCTCCCTCGCGGTGGGATACACGCCCACACGTCACCCCTTCAGTCTTTGTTCAACGGCCATCCTCTCAGCGATGAAACGAACGAAGCAAACCCATAGTTGCAGTCAAGTAGCCTCTGCTCACGGAGACTCCGTGTCTCCCCGAGCAGAACCGAACGTAGTTTGCAGTGGCTGGGACCTCTGATAGCCCTGGTGGTAGAGTGGCGTACTCATTGGGGTGCTAACCGAGAAGGGCAGCCGTCTGAAACCACCAGTGGCTCGGAGGGAAAGAGAGGACCGTTCCATTCCCCTAAAGAGGTCCAGTCTCTGGGACAACTCCACTCGTGGTGGGTCTGTTCTGCCCTCAGTGGGTCACTCTGAATGAGCACGGACTCCGTGGCGGTGAGGCCAGGGCCCTTGGTGGCATGGTGAGCTGTCAGTTGGGCTGCTAAGTAGAAGGTGTGTTAGGCCAGGTTGACTGGAAAAGCAAATCCAGGACCCTCATACATGTGCAAGAAAGAGCTTTCTATCAAAAAGCTTTCTATATCAGGAAAACATCCCAGCCCAGTCCAACTCAAGTCCATAAGTCTGATACTGGCCCCTAAGTCCCTCTTTAGATTCACGCAGTCACAAGCAATGATGCAGAATGCAAGAATATCACAGGCCGGTAGGTACAAAGTCTTGTAAATCCCATGGCAGCAGACACATCTTGAGAGCGCTGGCCACCATCAGGGTCAGCCAGCAGGAGGGTAAAGACAGAGAGGGGGGGGAGTGAGGTTCCCAGGGACCTCCTTATGAGAAGGCCATGCCCACAAGGAGGTACCATCAAGCTGTGACCTGATTGACAGGCGAGAGTCCACCCCTACACTTTTATAAATCTTCAAGTTGACATAAAATGATGTAACTACCACAGAAGGTCAGTAGTTTGAAAACACCAGTCATTCTGTGGAGCAAGATGAGGCTCTCTACCCCATAAAGAGTTGCAGCCTCAGAAATGCACCGGACAGCTCCACCCTGTCCTCCAGGGTCACGATGAGTTGGAACCGGTTTGAGGGCAGTGAGTTTGTTTGAGATTCTGTGCGTGCGTGCGGGCGTGCGTGCGTGCGTGACCTTTTAAGAGTAGATCACCAGGCCTTAGCTGTAGGTGAAGTACCTGTAGGTGAATTCAAACCACCAACCTTTACAGTAGTAGCTGAGGACATCACTGTTTGTGCCACCCTGCGACTCCTCTCTCAGTAATGACCCTATCTCATCCGCCAGCCTCTGACACCTACCTACGCACACGTTTCCTCCCCTTTCCTCTGGCCTTTATTTTTATGCATCTAGTTTATGTCTGTCTCCATGAAGACCAGAATTGTTATCTGTTGTATTCTCTGCAGGGCCCCCAGTCCATAGCACAGTACTCGTTCATAGGTATTGAACTGAATATGATGACTGGTTGTGACCGAGGAAATGAAACAATAACCCAGTTTGGTCTATATTTTTCCAGAAGATTCCTTGTTCCTTCATAAATAGACCTGGGCAAGTCAACTCCGACAGGCTACCAACATGTCCAAATGTGCCCTAGGCCTAGGGCAAACTTCACTGCAGGTTAGGTAGGTGTCAGTTGACATCCTGAGTATGAAAGAGATCATTGTGGACAGAGTAATGGAGCAAAGAGGCATGCTGGGAAAACAGTGTTCCCAAGACACCCGAGGAAAAGGAGCTGGAGACTGAGAAGAAGTAACTAGAGAAAGAGCAGTGTCAGGAAA